CGTTTGCCAATGCTATGATGCTGGGTATTTTTATGGTATATATTGTATTAGTTCTTTTGTTTCATAGTTTTATGCAGCCAATTACCGTCTTGTCCGCTCTGCCATTGTCCATTGGTGGCGCGATGGGGTTATTATTGTTTACCAATACGGCTATTTCTATGCCTACCTTGATTGGTTTAATTATGTTGATGGGCATAGTGACGAAAAACTCAATTTTATTAGTTGATTATGCAATTTTAGAGCGCAAAAAAGGACACAATCGTTGGGATGCCGTGATGGATGCCTGTCACAAAAGGGCGCAACCCATTGTGATGACAACCATTGCTATGGGGCTCGGGATGATGCCTATTGCTTTAGGATGGGGCGCAGATTCAAGTTTTCGTTCACCAATGGCTATTGCGGTAGTAGGTGGCTTGATTACCTCAACGTTTTTATCGTTACTGGTTATTCCCGTGGTTTATACACTCATTGATGATTTAACGAGTTTTTTTGGTCGTTTGTTCAAGAAGGAGCAATCGTCTGAGCCATCTCAAGCGGGTACAAACCTACACTGAGGTCATCAAGCCATAAGGTCACGATGTGGTTCTTATGGCTTAGCTTGGACGATATTTATGAGGCTGATCGTGATCTGGCAAGGACAAATAGACTCATTGGCACTAAACTTACCTCTAAAAACAAATAAAACATAAAAATTGGGCTCGGAGTGCCGTCCAAAACGAAACTACTGCCTCGTCCACATACAAAAGCGGACATAATGATTAAAACAGAATAAACCGCAGGTCTTTTAAGCGGTTGTTTAAAAGCTGCGATAGTCCAACAAATGGCTATACCAAGGTATAACCCCATGATTGCACGAAAAATATTGCCAATGTCTGGCGTGATTTCTTGAATGGTGCTAATTTGTGGATAAACCCGTTCTGGGGCAATACCATACAACAATGAAATACTTGCTAGTCCAAAACTGGCAAATAATAAAAAATTTTTTTCAATTTGTGTAGGGTCGAGAAGTTTTGTCAGCATAAGTTAATCTTTCATAGATGGATAGATGAAAAAGATAATTCCATTTCGGCATCAGCCGCGCATTTTGTCACACCTTGTCTTGCAACAGCAATACCTTCGTTGGCGTTTCGTATTGACGATTGAAGTCGAAAGGTAATAAGCATAACACAAGTGTATCTTGTCAACATGGTGATTGTTTCGATGGATACATTATTGTTAAGCGATTTGTGATAATTTTAACTGAACTTCAACTGTGCATTTTGTCGCAGTCGATTTATAATCAATACTTTGTTAAAAGAGTCTTCCTTCATTAACCTTACTTAAGCCATTCATTTATCTTATGCCTCGTCCGATTCGCGCCGTGATTGATCGCACGGCTTTTTATCAAAATTTAGCAGCGGTTGCAACATTACAAACGCATAGTAAAAAATGGGCCGTGATGAAGTGTAATGCTTATGGTCATGGTTTGGCATCTTTGGTGACCGATTGGCTGCCTGCCGATGGCATCGCTGTGCTGGATTTAGACGAAGCACAAACCGTGCGATCTCAAGGGTGGGAAAAACCAATTTTATTATTAGAAGGCTTTTTTGAGCCTGATGATTTGGTCAAAATTGCTACGCTCAATGCGCAGGTTGTTGTTCATAGTCAGGTGCAAATTGAACAACTACAAAATTATTGGTCGCAGGGCGATAAAGCCATTTTACCTATTTGGCTAAAATTCAATACTGGGATGAATCGTTTAGGGTTTACCGAGCCTTTAGCGATGCTATTGCATCAACTGCAAGGTTGCAAAGTTCATGTCCAAGGTGTGATGAGTCATTTTTCGTGTGCAGACGAAAAAGGACACCCCAGCTTTGATCGCCAGAAGAATCAATTTTTGCAATGGGTGGATTCGTTTCCTTTTGAGCGTAGTTTCGCAAATTCTGCTGGAGTATTGTGGCATCGGGAAAGTCATTATGAATGGATACGTCCTGGCATTATCTTATATGGTGGTTCTCCCACTGGCGTGTATGAAGATATTGCCAGTTTTCAGTTTAAACCCGTGATGTCTTTACAAAGTGAAATTATTGCGATTCAAACCCTTAAGGTCGGCGATGAAGTTGGTTATGGTGCAACGTTTGTGGCAAAACAACCTATGCGGATCGGTGTGGTTGCCTGTGGTTATGGTGATGGCTATCCAAGACATGCGCCAACAGGAACGCCAATTGTCGTCGATGGCGTTCCAACCACTACTGTTGGGCGAGTTTCCATGGATATGATCATGGTGGATTTGACACCTATCCCAGAATCTGGTGTTGGAAGTGCGGTCGAGTTATGGGGCGCACAAGTGCCTGCTGATCACGTGGCAAAATCAGCGGGTACAATCGCTTATGAATTGTTTTGCGCTCTGGCAGCACGTGTGCCAAGGTTATACATAGAGTCATGTTCGTCATGACGTTAAATGTTGATTGCCTAGGCTTATTGTTGATCAAACAGCTTATAAGTTGTTAGTGCAAACATTTAGCATGCTAAAAAATATAATGACCTGTATCGTCGAGGTGTTAAATTCTAAGTTTAGCTCGTTCATCAAGAGCTCGTATACAAAATTGGGCAAAACTGTTATAATGGGCACTCATTTTTAACACGCATGGCTTGTTGGTGGCGTAAGCGACTCAATCATGCGCAAGTATTGGAGTATCCAAATGTCAGTGTCTGATATCAAAACCGATGAAATTATTAAAAAATTTGCACGCAGCCCCAATGATACGGGCTCTCCAGAAGTGCAAGTTGCTTTATTAACGGCTCATATCAATGAGTTGATTCCTCACTTTAAAGAGCATAGCAAAGACCATCATGGTCGCCGTGGTCTGCTCAAAATGGTGAGTCGTCGTCGTAGTTTGCTTGCTTATCTCAAACGTAAAGATATTGCGCGTTATCGCCAATTAATCGATGCGCTTGGCTTACGGAAGTAATACTCGTTAGAAGACAAAATGCCTGTGTGAATGTACGATGCGCAGGCATTTTTTATGGGCACTTGATTGATATCTATGGCAGGAAAATTGGCCTGTAGGGTTTGATATTTTGTTGATCAAGTTTAATCTCCATTCTGGAAAGTACGCGAGAAATGATCACGAAGAACTTACACATGAGGTAAGGTGCGTGAAGTCAAATGTACGTTCTAAGTGGGTGTTAGATGTTCGTTGAGTGGGTGTTTTTTGTTTTTCATTGAAAACCCAGCATTTTTTACAAAAGATGTAACGATGTGTGTGAGTGGTGTCATTCCATGAGCTCATTGTCGAAGTGAGTTCATGGAATGGCAGGCTAGCAACATGATCATGTGCGTTATATCTGCACTATTGAAGGAAAGTTATGTTTAATAAAGTCACTAAAACGTTTACGTGGGGGCAGCATCAAGTACGTATGGAGACGGGTGAAATTGCCCGTCAAGCAACAGGTGCTGTGCTTGTCGATATGGATGATACGGTGGTGTTAGCGACAGTGGTCGCTTCAAAAGAAGCGAAGGCGGGGCAGGATTTTTTCCCTTTAACCGTTGACTATATAGAGAAATTTTATGCGGCAGGTCGTATTCCTGGGGGGTTTTTTAAACGAGAAGCCAAACCTACGGACAACGAAACTTTGATTGCTCGTTTGATCGATCGTCCGATTCGCCCTTTGTTTCCAGAAGGTTTTTATAATGATGTACACGTGGTCATCCATGTTTTATCCATCAATCCAGATGTTCCAGCCGATATCCCTGCCATCATTGCTAGTTCTGCAGCACTGGCCGTATCGGGCATTCCATTTCATGGTCCTGTTGGTGCAGCGCGTGTAGGCTATATTAACGGTGAGTATGTCTTAAATCCCAATCGTTCACAAATGCCTGATTCTCAACTTGATTTGGTCGTGGCTGGTACTGAACGCGCGGTTTTAATGGTTGAATCAGCCGCCGATCAACTCAGTGAAGATGTGATGTTGGGTGCGGTTAACTTTGGTCATGAGCAATCTCAAATTGCCATTCAAGCGATTGATGATTTAGTTGCCCAAAGTGGTAAGCCAGAGTGGGAGTGGACAGCGCCTGTTCAAGACGAAGCTT